AACCTTCACCAGCCCCCATGGGAGGATCACTTTCAGGTTGCGTATTACACCTCATTCGCTTCCTAGGACAAATTTCCTTTGCTTTAATTCGAGCAAGAGGGAAAATGAGCGTGCACTCTTGGGAGACCTGAAAGAAAAGGTATAGGATAGATTGTCATGGACGAAAGCTATTCCGCTACTCGGTGGGAGCCGAATAGGATTCGATAGCACCGAAAGAAGCTCGGAACCCATGAAAGCCTCTTGCGAACACGGCAGGGTGAGAGAAAGGACGAGGATGAATTTCCACCTTATGTCGCTAGATGGCACTTTACAAAGAAGCAACACTCGCGCCTGGAAAGCAGAGAACGAGAGTACAGCAGCAGCATCGCTAATATTGACATTACACCGGAAGGGAGAGAGGCCGAGCTGGAACGAATTGAAACGATAGAGTATTAGATTGCTAGAGTGGAGGAAAGGAGGACAGAGGTAGTTCCTCTTCGGGCTGACCCGCGGGAGGTTGATGGCGTCGGCAGAGCCTCTTGTGCTGCTTGGAGGGTCGAAGCGGCTCCTGGGAGGTGAGTGGAGGGAAGATCGGAGGAGAATCCGGGAGCAAGTCGGGCCCTTTGGGTTCCTCCACGGCCTGGAAGCAGCGAAGGGACAGGAATGAAACATGCGAGCTGCTGCTGCTGCTGCTCAGTCTTTCTCTCCCCGAACGTTTTTAGCCTTTTGCTGCATGATTTAAAACTGCAGCCCGAGATTTTTCTGCTGGCAGATTTGAGAGATTTAAAGAAATCTTAATATCTTTAAATCAGCCAGATTTTGCGCTTGTTGACATTCATTTTTTCCCTCATTCCTGTACATCACAAAGTGAAAACAAAATTTTAGAAATGTCTATAAATTTAGCTGCAGCACAACAAAATCGACAACAGTAAAGGGTGGCTGAATACTTTCTGAATGCACTGTATTGAGAAAGATAAAAACCTTTCGAGTTAAGTGAGAGGTTAAGTCTTGGGATGTCTTGCCCAAAATGCCTGCAGAGCATTTTGAGGAAGGGAGACTGATGTGCACAAGGGGCAGGTTGGTTGAGCTCCAAAGAGGCTTCAGTTGTTGGAATAAAATGCCCTGTGGAGAGTTTTTAATTTATATTCTGTTGACCCAGTCCTGCTTCCTCTAGTTATTCCATTACCATCTTCCCTTTCCAATTTTCAGGTTTTCTCAAAATTCTATTTAAGGCACAAAATTCCTCTGTGTCTTCCCACCTTCGCTTTCATAGCATTCCCTCTCTGTAAAGCCAACAAGGGATAATTTTCAGGCTAAAAACATGTTGATTCTCCATATATGTATATGTATATATAATTATAGGCATATATATCTGTATTTCTCTTTGTATGCATATATTTACATCTGTACAATGTATCCCCAGCATTTCCAGATATAGTTCATGATAAGCCTTTGCACTGCTAAGAATTTGTAAATCACCAAAGTGAAAAAGAGAATTTAATGACTGAATGCATATTTGAACCAAATATGTCAAATGAATCATAACTAATGTAAGAAGTTATTCCTTATTGTAGCATGTTTGCTTATTTATTGTTAAAGTGTACTTTTATCTCTTTTTTACATCTTCTGCAACCATTTTATGAAGAATTAAAGTTATATTTTTCTTTGAATCTTATAGACAAAGAGGATGGCAATAAAAGCACTCTGGAAAACTGAGAATAACAAGCAACATTGGGGGGGAAAAAGCAAAGCCAGCCAGAAATTAAAATATTTTCCACTTCCTTCAGAAAACCACAAAATGAGTGCCCAAAATGTGGGAAACATTTCAGTAGGAATTCCCACCTGATGACACATCAGAGAACTCACACATTACAAAATGTATTACTGTCCAGATTTGGGCAGACATTTCAGTCAAACTTCTGACCTAATGACACACCAGAGGACTCATTCCCAGGACAAACTGTATGAATGTCCTGAGTGTGGGAAAAGTTTTAGACATAATTCCAGTCTGTTAACACACCAGAGGACTCACACAGGAGAAAAACCGTATGAATGTCCAGTTTGTGGAAAAAGCTTCAGTCGGAATTCCAGCCTTATTACACACCAGAGGAGTCACACAGGAGAAAAACCATATGAATGTCGAGATTGTGGGAAAAATTTCAGTCGGAATTCCAGCCTTATTACACACCAGAGAACTCACACAGGAGAAAAACCTTATGAATGTCCAGAATGTGAGAAATGTTTCAGTTATATTTATAATCTGATAACACACCAGAGGACTCACACAGGAGACAAGCCGTATGAATGTCCTGAGTGTGGCAAAAGTTTCAGTCACAATTTCAACCTTGTTCAACACCAGAGGACTCACACAGGAGAGAAATCGTATGAGTGTCCAGAGTGTAGGAAATGTTTCAGTCAGAATTCCAACCTTGTGACACACCAGAGGATTCACACAGGATACAAACCGTATGAATGTCCAGAATGTGGAAAATGTTTTAGTCAGAATTCCCAGCTGGTGACCCACCATAGGATTCATACAGGAGACAAACCGTATGAGTGTCTAGATTGTGGGAAAAGTTTCAGTCAGAATTCCAACCTCATGATGCACCAGAGGATTCACACAGGAGAGAAACCGTATGAATGTCCAGATTGTGGGAAATGTTTTAGTCGGAATTTCCAGCTGGTGTCACACCAGAGGACTCACACAGGCGAGAGACCGTATGAGTGTCTAGATTGTGGGAAAAGTTTCAGTCAGAATTCCAGTCTTGTGCAACACCAGAAGACTCACACAGGAGAGAAACCGTATGAATGTTCAGATTGTGGGAAAAGTTTTAATCATAATTTCCAGCTGGTGACACACGAGAGGAGTCACACAGGAGAAAAAACATATGAAAGTCCAGAATGTGGGAAAAGTTTCAATCATAATTTCCAGCTGGTGACACACGAGAGTACTCACACAGGAGAAAAACTGTATGAGTGTGCAGATTGTGGGAAATTTTTCAGTCTTAATTCCCAGCTGGTGACATACCAGGGGACTCACACAGGAGTCAAACCGTATGAGTGTCCAGAGTGTGGGAAAAGTTTCAGTCAGAATTCCCAACTGGTTACACACCAGAGGACTCACACAGGAGACAAACCGTATGAGTGTCCAGAGTGTGGGAAAAGTTTCAGTGATAATTCCAACCTTGTGAAACACCAGAGGATTCATACAGGAGAGAAACCATATCAGTGTCCAGAGTGTGGGAAAAGTTTCAGTCAGAATTCCCACCTGGTGACACACCTGAGGACTCACACAGGAGAAAAACCATATGAGTGCCCAAAGTGTGGGAAACCTTTCAGTAGGAATTCCCACCTGATGATACACCAGAGAGCTCACATGGTACAAACTGTATGATTGTCCAGTATGTGGCAAAAGTTTCAGTCAGAATTCCAGGCTAATGACACACCAGAGGACAAACGATATGAATGTCCTGATGTGAGAAAAGCTTCAGTCAGAATCCCAACCTTGTTAAAAACCAGAGGACTCACAGAGAAGATAAACTGAATGAGTGTCCATATTGTGGGAAAAGTTTCAGTCAAAATTCCAACCTTGTGATACACCAGAGGACTCACAGCCATGATAAAGCCTAATTACATGTTTCTGATGATCAGCAGAACTTTCTGGATATTTCTTTTTGCAGGAGTATTGAATTCTTCAAAGAGGCTTTCTGGTGGTGTTTTTTTATATTAATTATTGAATTCCCACAATTGGACTTTCCATTTTCTACCTTGGTGAGCTCCAGATTTTGAGTGCCAGAATTTCCCAACCGCCATTCAAGTAATCCTTTTTTTTTTTTCAATAATTTTTTTATTTTTATATTTGAAAAAAACTCATTAGGTGAACAATGTGGTTCCAGGTTTTAACATTTCAATATAAACGTGACGATGATTACATACTCAACTTTCATATCCAAATTCATATCGTATTATTGCTTATTCAATTTTCTTCAAATATTCTCATATATTGTTTAACAATATTATCAATATTCTTATTCAGTTTCTATATTCATTATTCTTATTTTATGCAATTTAATTTTGCATTATAGCTTTTTCATTTTTCTTTAAATATTCTCATGTCTTGTTTAACAATATCCCTATTCTTATCCACTTTGTATATTTCACATTTTCACACATTTTCTTACATCCGTCACATTTGCAAATTTTATCACATACCGATGAAACTTGAAAAATTAGAATATTGTACAAAAGTTCATTTATTTCAGCAATGCAACTTAAAAGATGAAACTAATATATGAGATAGACTCATTACATGCAAGGCAAGATAGTTCAAGCCATGATTTGTCATAATTGTGATGATTATGGCTTACAGCTCATGAAAACCCCAAATCCACAATCTCAGAAAATTAGAATATTACATGCAATCAATAAAACAAGGATTGTACACAGAATACTATAGGACCTCTGAAAAGTATAAGCATGCATATGTACTCAGTACTTGGTTTGGGCCCCTTTTGCAGAAATTACTGCCTCAACGTGGCGTGACATGGAAGCTATCAGCCTGTGGCACTGCTGAGGTGTTATGGAAGACAAGGATGCTTCAATAGTGGCCTTCAGCTCTTCTGCATTATTCGCTCTCATGTCTCTCATCTTTCTCTTGGCAATGCCCCATAGATTCTCTATGGGGTTCAGGTCAGGTGAGTTTGCTGGCCAATCAAGTACAGTAATCCCACGGTCATTGAATCAGGTTTTGGTGCTTTTGGGCAGGTGCCAAGTCCTGCTGGAAAATGAAGTCAGCATCCCCATAAAGCTCGTCGGCGGAAGGAAGCATGAAGTGCTCCAAAATGTCCTGGTAGACGACTGTGTTGACCCTGGACTTAATGAAGCACAGTGGACCAACACCAGCAGATGACATGGCTCTCCAAATCAACACAGACTGTGGAAACTTCACACTGGACTTCAAGCATCTTGCAGTGTGCGCCTCTCCATTCTTCCTCCAGACTCTGGGTCCTTGGTTTCCAAATGAGATGCAAAAGTTGCTCTCATCAGAAAATAAGACTTTGGATCACTGAGCAACAGATCAGTTCTGTTTTTCTTTAGCCCAGGTAAGATGCTTCTGACGTTGTTTGTTGTTCAGGAGTGGCTTGATAAGAGGAATACGACATTTGATGCCCATGTCCAGGATCTGTCTGTGTGTGGTGGCTCTTGATGCACTGACTCCAGCCTCAGTCCACTCCTTGTGAAAGTCCCCAACACTTTTGAATGGCCTATTCCTGACAGTCCCCTCCAAGCTGCAGTCATCTCTGCTGCTTGTGCACCTTTTTCTTCCACACTTTTCCCTTCCACATAACTTTCTATTCATGTGCGTTGACACAGCACTTTGGGAACATCCAACTTCTTTTGCAATTACTTTTTGAGGCTTTACCTCCTTATGGGGGGTGTCAGTGATGATTTTCTGAACAACTGTCAGGTCAGCAGTCTTTCCCATGATTGTGATTCCTACTTGAACCAGACTGAGAGACTATTTAAAGGCTCAGAAACCCTTTGCAGGAGTTATGGCTTAATTAGCTGATTAGAGTGAGACACTTTGAGCCTAGAATATTGAACCTTTTCACAATATTCTAATTTTCTGAGATTGTGGATTTGGGGTTTTCATGAGCTTTAAACCATAATCAAGACAAATCATGGCTTGAACTATCTTGCTTTGCATGTAATGAGTCTATCTCATATATTAGTTTCACCTTTTAAGTTGCATTACTGAAACAAATGAACTTTTGCACGATATTCTAACTTTTTGAGTTTCACCTGCACTATTATTTTTTCATTCAAAAGTTTTCCTCTTTCATTGTCAATTTGAGCTTGCGAACCCTTTGCCTTATGCATTTTCCCCATTTACTCCCTTAATCCCATAAAAACTTATAACAATATAGCCATTTTTAATTAACATTCTATATTAACAATAGTCCCTTAACTAGTATAAATTAGGAGATATATATATATATATATCTAATATCAGATTCCACATGGTATTCCCTTTATTATATTCTAAGTCATACATTTATTCCAAAACAATTTACTTAATAAATTTTTCTATTTTAATCTATTCAATAATTTTTAAAGGCTACTAGTAATTTATCCATTTCAAATCTCATACTCCCTTTTTACTTTATTCATCACATTATTAAATATTAATATTCTTTTAATAAATTCTCATTTCTGTTGCGATATCATGACACATCAGTAGGAAGTTACGTACACAGATAGGGCGACACTATTGGAACAGTAACGTGTAAAACGTGAGTTGGCTATAGCATAAGGTGTAGCCATATATGGCAATATTCCCTATTACTGTCTAACTTCCTCGTGTGTAACATAACCCCCCCCCCCCCCCCCTCCCCAACAAAAGAGAGGTGCGTAGTACTATCTGGGCTTCCTCTCACCAAAAGAAACCTTTGTGTCGCTGTCATCTTTGCCATCAAGAGGAGCCCGCCCGGACAGTCTGCCCAGGTGCAGGTCGTCAGCTGACTAATTCATCCCAGCAGTGGGACCCGCAACGCATCACATTTCCATATCTATTTCAGATTAAATTTAAATCTAGTTTAAAAATAATTCTTAGTATAATGTCAATTCTAGTATATTCCATCTTTATGTCTATATTCTTAAATACCACAATACATTTCTATACGGAATCTCTTTTCCTAATCACCTACTACCCATCGTCTCTAAATCCTGACTCTATAATTTCTTATCATTTTTGCTTGTTTTCTCTTTTTCTATCATTTTTCGGTCCTTTCCTTCCTTTCCCTTCTTTTCCCTATTATTTCCTTAATTTCCAACTCTAAGCTATTTGCTTTGTCCCCCTCCCTCTTCTGATCTTTTCAATGCAATTCCCGCTTCCGCTGTTTCGTCTTCCTTTGTTTAACCTTCCAAGCAATTCCCCCTTTATCATATCCAGTCTTAATATTTTAATTTTAACTCCTTTTTTATCCTGTCAACATTTGTTGCTCCACTTGTTCTTTAAGGCTGATTTCTTCTTTGCTTAACTCCTCCCCCTCTGGCTCCGCCATTTCCAGTTTTTGTAGAATAATACTCCATAGTTCCAAGCTTTCTTTCATCATTTCCTTCGCGCTTTTCAGTTCCGATCATATTTCCAGAAGTATTTCACTCATTTTGTACATACAAGTAGTCCTTGAGATACAAGTGTAACGGGGCCTATCAATTATGCTTTTATGTTGCAATCACATTAAAAGGAACTGCTTTGCTTAAGTACGCCCACCCCCTCTTTGCCTGGTAAGGCTATTCAATGAATGTGTGAGTTATTAAGCGGAACACCTCAGGGTTGGAGGCATAGACAAGGCCCAGGCTTGCATTCCCAAGGCTTCCTCTACCTCAACCCTTTGATCGCCCCAAGAGCCACTTGGACCCATTTCCCACAGAAAACACTAGGAGTCACAAAAGCTGGGTGGGTGTGGCTGACTCAATGTCACTCCCACCAAGTCACAAGACCCCCTAGCCATGCTACCTAGCCGTTCATTAGGGCAGAGAAGGGTTTTTAAAAAACACTGGGAACCACAAAACCTTTTTGACAACTCCCTTTCCCCCACCCCTGTATTTCTATGTCTCTCTCTCTCCTCCTCTCTATCTCTGTGTCTATGTCTCTCCCCTTCTCTGTCTGTCTCTTTCCGTCCCTCTCTCTTTCCCCCTCTCGCTCTCACTTCCCTCTTTTATCTCCTCCTCTTCCCGCCAGGGAGGAGGGTGGAAGGAACCCTTGAACTGGTGTTGGGTGGTGGGAATCCAGAGGCCAACAAGCAAAGGATCAACACGCCAAAGATCAGATGGCCGGCGGGGAGTTGGAGCATCACTACACCAGCAGCTCTGCAGGAAAAGTGCAGGAAAAGCAACTGACATCCAGGAGGCGAGAGCAAGCATAATAGGGAAGGGTCGCATTGTGGCTCCGCATTGTTGTAATGGGCTCCAGGAAAAGGGGACCCGCCTCCCCCCATTGTGAAGCGTGATAAATTTCACTGCTGCATAAGGCGCGAAAAGTAGCAGCAGCAAATGTTTGTGATGAAGACCCACAAAGGCAAGTGCACGGGTGCTTTGCTTCTGCAACTAGGCTCTGGCCACTGTCACCGCTATGACAGGGTGACAATCATCCCACTGCTGCGACAGGGACCCACAACAGAAAGATGAAAGACCCACATTCGGGTCTGGAGCGACACGGCCCTGTACCGTTCCAGACAATCGGCTGTCCAATCTACTCTTGAAAACCTCCACTGAGGGAGCACCCACAACTTCTAGAGCATAGGTTTCATTTCATTGAAGGCCGCATCAGGGTTGTTTGACCTCGGAGAGCCATGGGGTGGCAGGCAGTGGATATGGCCGTGGTGGATGTGACATGAGACCACACTTCCACACACATGGTTTTATACACTTATAAAAATAGAGAGCCGTATATTTCTCTTGACTGTGTTTTTGAATAGTTGATCTGAGTCAAGAATGGTCTCCTGGCGCACTCCGGAGGTCCTGTTTTGGGCCTGGAAGGCCGCCTGCAGCCCCAGGAGGGTTTTAAGAAGACACTGGACAGTCACTTGTCTGAAATGATATAAGGTCTCCTGCTCTAGCAGGGGGTGGGTTTCTTTCTTGTGAATAAGCAAGCAAAAGGTTTATTTCAATGGGCCTTTCGGATTTCTTTGTAAGGGAGCTAATCCACAAACGGGCTTGCTGCAGACTTTGGCATTGGTCGGCCTCGGCCTAGTGGCCCCTTCCCCTTATTGGCTTCAGCGAAGGGGTTAAAGGCTTTTGCGCCTGGAAAGGAGGCAGGAAAGGGGGAAAAGTGGGGTGGGAGCCAATCCCGAGCCCTCCTTGCCCTCCTTCCTGGTCTGCCGACATCTCTTACATCAAGTCTTGCAGAGATTCCCTCGTGGGAAGAGCCGCTCAAGGGGCACCAGGTGGGCAAGGCCGCTGCCAGAGGGGGAGGAGACGACCAGGAGGGGGGAGGAAGAGGAGGGGGAATCCCCAGGTGCGGGCAGGGAGGAGGGATTCCTGGGGGGAGGAAGAGGAGAGCGAGGTGGGGTTTCCCCAGTTGTGCCCCCTCCCCTTCCGAGTCCCCGCCTTTGCTCGCAAGGTTTTCTGCTCCGTGAGAACCGCTGCGCCGCCGCTTCTCCTCCTCGGTTGCGCGAACGGGTCTCGGATCCTCTTAAAATCCTCCCTCCAAGCCCCCCGCCCTCCTTCCCTACAGCCCATCATTTGGTGCAGCCCGGCTCCCAGGGTGAGGCTGCCTGGTGTTGGGCACCATTGTTCCCACGTTCCCCTGTGGCTGCTGGGGAGGATCCGCCTCCCAGGAGGGGAGGAAGAGGATCTGGGTTCAGAAGGATCGTGGCTGGGCGTGAACCCTGCTAGGAGGAGGCCGGTGGCATCTCGAGGGTTACGGAGACCAGAGAGGCGTCCAACTGAGCTTCCTTGGAGATGCAGCACCTGAATCTGCCTCTCTTACCTGCCCAGATTCCCTTTCTGATGCATCCCTGTTTCTCTCTGCCCACGTGACTGAACAGCCATGTCGGCAAAGGTTTTCAATTTCAGTTCTTTTACAGATTGTATAATCTAATAACTGCCTTTGAGCATTTTGGGGAAGAGAGACTGGTGTGCAGAAGAGGGAGATTGGTTGAGCTCCAGAGAGGCTTCAGTTGTTGGAATAAAATGTCCTTTGGACGGTTGTTGTTTATATTCTGTTGAGCCAATGCTGCTTCCTCTAGTTATTCCGTTACCAACTTCCTTTTTCAATTTGCAGTTTTTCTTCATGGCTATTATAAGACAAAGAATCGCTTTTGAGTCTCTCCACTTTCACTTTTGTAACTTCTCCTATCTGTAAAGATTTCTGAAAGTATTTTAATATAATGTAAACCTTGGAGCACTTCAGAACTTACTAACTTCAACCTGGTGCATGGATGATGGTATTTCGACTGGGCTTTTTTAAAGGGTGAGGGGGAGAGGTCAATTTTCCCCAAGTGCTTTGAAAGGATAAATCACTGTCTAGGTCAGGGATCCCCAACCCCTGGTCACTAAATGAAGTGGTGTAAATCAAAGACTACCTGCATAGAATTGGATAGGATGGACGGCCTCTCCTAGAGATTTCATGTAGATGTTAAATCACGTTGCTTATTGAGGGAAATCCGGGCAGTTTCAGCTGCAAGAATGCAGAGGAAAAAATGATATCTATCTAGATGAGTTTGGAAGCAATGTGGGTGGGCACTTCAAGGTTTTGTCCTGTATTTCATTCAATGGGATGAGGTTTTGTCCTATATCAATGGGATGAAGCTGGCAATTGTTTAAGGCTGCACATACAAACAAGACCTTCATGAACTTTTATGATGCAGCACCTGTCTAATCTGGTGAAGGTAAGTAGGGGAAAACATCACCCTTCAAACTTCCCTGAGTTACAAATATAGTTTTGGGGAGTTATCCTGCCCCCCCAAGAGGAAGAACTGGCTGGAATAGTCTTCACTGATCCTCAAGGGAGGTGCGCTTTGTCCCTGCCTGATGACGCATTGTGTTCTCCCCACGGACGCTTTGCTTGGCGGCAAAAGAAGCCCCTGGCTCAGTTGGAGTGACAATGAGGGCATCCCTACCTTATATCGCTAGATGGCGCTCTACAATGAAGCAACACTCGCGCCTGGAAAGCAGAGAACAAGAGAGCACAGCAGCGGCATCGCTAATATTGACATTACACCGGAGGGAGAGAGGCCGAGATGGAACCAATTGTAATGATAGAGCATTAGATTGCTAGAGTGGAGGAAAGGAGGACAGAGGTACTTCCTCTTCGGGCTGACCCGCGGGAGGCTGATGGCGTTGGCGGGCCCTTTTGTGCTGCTTGGAGGGTCGAAGCGGCTCCAGGGAGGTGAGTGGAGGGCAGGTCGGATTGGACACCGGGAGCAAGTCGGGCCCTTTGGGTTCCTCCACGGCCTGGAAGCAGCGAAGGGACAGGAATGAAACATGCGGGCTGCTGCTACTGCTGCTCAGTCTTTCTCTCCCCAAACGTTTTTATCCTTTTGCTGCATGATTTAAAACTGCAGCCCGAGATTTTTCTGCCGACAGATTTAGGAGATTTAAAGAAATCTTGATATATATATTTTCCCGTTTCTTAACCACCCAGCTCCCTCGCCCTTCACGTAACATGTGAATCCTTGTGGTTTTATTGAGATGTCGCTTTCCTGGCAAGCGAGGAGTTTCAGGGGCAAAAGGGAGGTTTGCATAGGATTTGCTCACCCTTTAATCTGTTAGTGGCTTTAAAAAAAAGAGATTAAAGAAAATTGAGCCAATGCACTTTTGAGTCATTTTGCAGACAGAAATACACGTAATTGTTTACATAAATAAATTCACAGGAGTGTATTTCCGTGTCAATAGGAACAGACATTCAGTGCATTCAGACCCCCTTTCGCTTCTGTTGATTTTGTTCTGCTGCAGCCTGATTTTTTTATACTGGTTGACATTCATTTTTTCCTCATTCCTGTATATGACAAAGTGAAAACAGAATTTTAGAAAATGTCTGTAAATTTATTTAAAAAAAAGAAACCTGAAAAACCACATTGGCATAAATATTCAGATCCTTAACTCAGCAATTACAGCCTTGTGTCTATTTGGGTATGAGGGGATAAGCTTTTTGCACACCTGTATTGGGAAATTTTCTGCCCATCTTCCTTGCAAATCCTCTCAAGCTTAGTCAGGTTGGCTGACCATCGGTGGAGAGCCATTTTCGGGTTCGTCCAGAGATATTCAATAGGGTTCAGGTCAGAGCTCTGGCTGGGCCCCTCTAGGACATTCACAGAGTTGTCCCTAAGCCACTGCTATGCTGTCTTGGCTGTCCTGAGTGCTGTGGAACAGGCTTTCATTGAGGATATCCCTGTGCTTTGCTCCATTCAGCTTTCCCTCAACCCTGACCCTTCTCCCAGTCCCTGCAGCTGAGGAACACCCCCACAGCGTGATGCTACCACCACCATGCTTTGTTGTTGGGATTGGCATTCTTGCAGCTACATCTGCCCAAATAACCATCAGTAAGTAATGCTGTTTAATCTCTACATGAAATCTCTAGGAGAGGCCACCCATCCTTTCATATCCAATTATATACAGGCTTTGATTTACACCACTTCATTTAGTGATCCTTTCAAAGCACTTGGGGAAAATGGACCTTTCCCTCCCCCTTTTAAAAAAGCCCAGTCAAAATACTCTCATCCATGCACCAGGCTGAAGTTAATAAGTTCTGAAGTGTTCCAAGGTATATTAAAATACTTTCAGTAATTCTTACAAAAAGGAGAACCTGTGAAAGTGGAGAGACTCAGAGAAATTCTGTGCTTTATATAGCCATGAAATCTGCTACTATAGCCTGTCAATAATTTATAGTTGTTGTATTTTTTTAAAGTTTTTATTTTTTACACAGACATAGACATGACATAAGCATAAAACACAAAACCATCTTTAAGTTACAAATTGGTTGGTACAAATCTCTTGTGCATGATCTCCATAGTCTTATAGTTGTATTATTTTTATGGAGTCAGTTTCTATATCTAGTTTCTCATAAGGTTATCAAGTGTATAAAACCATGTGTGTGGAGGTGTGGTCTCGTGTCACATCCACCGTGGCCGTGCCCAGCACCCAGGCCTTCAATGGAGAAGTGCGTTCCTTTCCAAATCATGTCCAATCAATTTTAGACTCGAATCAAGCTGCAGAACCATGTCAGCAACAATCAAGGGAAATGGGAGGCACCTGAACTAAATTTCAAGTGCTGTTGCAAGGGGTCTGAATACTTATGCCAATGTGATATTTCAGGTTTTTTTCCTTTTGCTATGGGCAAAACTGTACACGAACTCTTGCAGAGAGGTTAGGTATCATTTCATCAGGTAAAAACCCACAATCTCTAAAGTTAGCTCAGAAGGTTCAACTGTAACCAATCTGGGATAATTTTCAGGCTAAAAACACCTGGATTTTTCACATACATACAGTTTTATCCATGTGTATTTGTATTTCTCTCTGTATGCATATTTAGAACTGTAAATATAGGCATACAGAGAGAATTGTAAATTATGCATACCGAAAGAAATACAAATACACACGCATATAACTGTATGTATGAGAAATACAAATACAATGTATCTCAGCATTTCCACATATAGTTCATGATAAGCCTTTGCACTGCTAATAATTTTTTAATCACCAAAGTGAAAATGACTGAATGGATATTTCAAACTGGACACAAAAGTGTCAAATGAATCCTAACTAATATATTTCTTATATAACTGATGTAAGAAATTATGGCATGTATGCTTATTTATTGTAATGTATACTTTTTCCTGTTTTTACATCTTCAATCATTTTATAAAGGATTAAAGTTACATTTTTCTTTGAATCTTATAGACAAAGAGGATGGCAATAGGAGCACTCTGGAAAACTGAGAATAACAAGCAACATTGGAAAAGAAAGCAAAGCCAGCCAGAAACCAAACTATTTTCCATTTCCTTCAGAAAACCACAAAATTCTTCTCCTTTCTCAACAGTTGAGAGACAAAGGAGCAAACTAAGAGGAGATTTCAAGCAAGAAAAGGTAGACTATGAGAAACCCAAGAATACGTTACATGATAGCTCAAGGGGGAGATTATATTTCATTCAGAAAAAGAGGGGTAACTCTGGAAGACAGCAGGGAGTAAGGTCTATTGGCTAGGCAAATAGGGCAAACAGTGATGCAGGGCTGGAGGAGGAAAACAGGTGGAATTAAAGCACCAGTAAACAAATGATCACACATATATTTGACCTCAAGAATATCAGTGTCGGAAAATCCTCTGTTGTGCCTATTGTGGGAAAAGTACAGATTGTAAATCACAAGTGATTATGCAGGAGAGGATCCCCATTGTAGAAAAGCCATAGCAATGCGAGAAATGGTTTAGTCTGAACAGCTTTCTTGGGGTTCATTGAAGGACACATATAGGACAGATGGCCTGCAAGTGCTTTCAATGTGGTAAATGCTTTAGCAAGCATAGCAGCATCAGAGGACTCACACCAGGGAGAAACCGGAAGTGCCTGGTTTGAGGGAAAAGTTTCATTCGAAATTCCCACCTCATGAGACACCTGAAGACTCACCCTGGGAAGAAATCCTTTGAATATCCTGACTGTGGAAAGAAATACCACCTGGGGACGCCAGAGAACTCACAGGAGACAAACTGTATGAGTGTCCAGATTATTGCAAAAGTTTCAGAATTCGGGCCTAATGACACACCAGAGGATGCATTCCCTGGACAAACTGTATGAATGTCTGGAGTGTGGGAAACATTTTAGTTATATTTGCAACCAGAGGATTCACATAGGAGAGAAACCGTATGAGTGTTTAGAGTGTGGGGAAGGTTTCAGTCAGAATTCTACCCTTGTGACACACCATAGGACTCACACAGGAGAGAAACCGTATGGATGTCCTCAGAGTGGGAAAAGTTTCAGTCATATTTCCAGCCTGATAAAACACCAGAAGTTTCACACAAGACAAAAACTGTATGGATGTCCAGATTGTGGGAAAAGTTTCAGACGGAATTCCAACCTGGTGATACATCAGACGACTCACACGGGAGAGAATCCGTATGAGTGTCCAGAGCACGGGAAAAGTTTCAGTCAGACTTCCAGCCTGGTGACACACCAGAGGACTCGTACAGAGAAACCGTATGAGTGTCCAGAATGTGGGAAAAGGTTCAGTAATAATTCCAGACTGATGACACACCAGAGGACTCACACAGGAGAAAAACCATATGAGTGTCCACAGTGTGGGAAAAGTTTCAGTCAGAATTCCAACCTTGTGACACACCGGAGGACTCACACGGGAGAGAAACCATATGAGTGTCCAGAGTGTGGGA